CAAAGTGTATGTCATAATGAGTCGATTTTGAAGTTTGAAGGATTGACTTGTGCAAATTTGAATTTTTTTGGCGTCAAACGCAAAAACTCTGTCAAAGCACGGAATATTTTATTCTGTATGAAAATTTGATATTCTGAAAATCTTGTTGGGTGTCGCATTCCTAGCGCAGTCACCTTCTGATATCGGCTTTTTCTGTGAATCGCTGTAAAAATAAATTGAATATTGTCCACAGAAACAAATTATTGGCTGTTTCGTAGAAGCTAGTTTCTGCTGTGAACTTGAGCTTGAATGTAGGCACTGCTAACCATCATAATAAGCTTATCAGCTTTCACTTAAAAAAGGCCAAGATCTCCCAATATTTAACAGTTAAAGTCCACAACCCTGTATTATTACTGCCTTCTTTATTGTCGTATTCAGGATCTGTAGAAAGTTCGAAAGCGAAAGTTTTTCATCGCGTTCCGGAAAAGACCGCTAATGGGCAGGCTATGCTCTCTGGACTTTATCAAAATTTGCGAGGTGTTCGGCAGCAACGGAGAAGCTTCCTCTCATCTGTTCTTCGACTTTTTTCCGAGGATTCTCGAGAGGTTTTTATTGAAATTTTCCATGTCGAGTATGTCCCAAAGAATTTATTGTCTCCGTTCTACCTAACTTTTTTTGCGTATTGGAATTTAAAATCCAAAAAATGGCATTTATTTGACCATTTTTTTCAGAATATGAGGCTTTAGTGTTTCCATCATTTACGCATGAATTGGCTCCATGCTAATGTTTTCAGAAGCTGACGCTGGAGGAATGGGTATATGTGGCCGATAATTTAGCAATGTTCCCATATCAAGTAATTGATGAGCCACTGTACGTTATCCGGCAGATCGAGTCAATTGTCTCAGTCAGTGGCCAGAACATAATTAACACTTTTATGGCAAATTTACTGCCTCGATCTAGTAATTCAGAAGTTGCCGATGATGATGATGTGGATTTTGATGCGCAACTCATCTATCGTGAGTTTACCAATCTTTCCGCAAAGTTTAAAATTTTCGTGAAGAAAATATGAGATGATTTATAACTAACTTCCATGATAGATTTATATTTCCCAAAGAAGATATTGATTTTTACGGTGGTGTCTATGAATTTTTGGCTAGGAAAGTGAAAAACTTAGTACAAGCAGTTGTTTGAGATGTTTAATCTCTAAAAAAGTGAGCATGATCTCGGTTTAAATATAATCTTGATTTATTTTTCCTTTGAATAACAAGTTATGGTTTACTTTTTGTAATTTGGGGAAATTGCTTAGGGCGTTAGTGCTTAGTGGAGGAGTTGTTATCGCCGGGTCCAGTTCGGCATCTTCACTTCTTGAAAAACTGTTTAAGGAGTTAATTTTTCTTAAATTTTCCTTCTATAGGACGGTTGCCGGAAGACAAGCGCGTATTATTTGAATGCATGAAGAACAGTCAAGCATGCTTCATTTTGCTTTATTTGAAGAGCTTTTTGATGAAGTTA